CTATTCGAAGAGGACTAAATTGTTCAGAGGGGTATACTTAGAGGACGAAAAATGCATTTTTCTCTTATAGACTCCTTGACGGTGAAGTCTACCTCAAGCAATTTCATTCTTTTTGTGATTTCATTCCAAAGCTTGTGGTTCAACCATGGTACATAAATTGCTCTTGATCAGAGGTCCTCTCTCTCTTCATGTCCTTCCAAATCACGCAAATCTTTCTCATGCACACGTCCAGTGCCTACAAAATATAACACAATAAGATCACGCCAAATTTTTGCAACACACACACACACACACACACATATACATATATATATATATATATATATATATATATATATATATATATATATATACATGGATAGGTTTAAATGAGTATAAATTTTTAAAATGAGAACACCTCTTAAATGAGACTCAATTCTAGCCACTAAAATGATATCAAGACGTTTGACTAAGATTTAACCCTTTATTTAAAGAATAATTTTTTATTTTAATTATTTAAATATTATTTTGATCACTGACCATTGACTCCAACATTCATCGCTGAGTTACGGCGTTGACTTCCGACAGGACCCGTTGACTTCCGGCGTTGACTCGTTGACCCTAATATGCATGATGTATAAAGTAAATATGCATTATGTATAGAGATGTTAAACGGGCTAGCCCTAGCGGGTTTCGGGCTAAATGGTCCGGGCCTAAAAAACTCAAATTTAAACGGGTTACCAATAAAAGGACCTAACCCTAACCCTAGCGAGCTTCGGGCTAAACGGGCTAAGCGGGCTTTAATAATAATATTAATAATAGTAATAATAATATAATAATAATGTATCAAAAAATATCAAAAATAAAAAGAAAAAAATATAAAAAATTACAACGACTAATTAACGATTGTTTTCAACGGTATTTAGTATTTGTCGCTCTATATATACAACTATACATTATATATGAACACATATTACAAACTCTTAAATAATATTTTTTTTTCAAAAGAAAAAAATATTCGAATTATTACTTACAATTACCATTTCACTACTTATTTTGTACGCTTTGGAAATTTTTACGATATTATATCACTATAAATTCTATCAATATGTTTTATGTGTTAGATATTTGTCTCATTCGTTTCCTATTAGTCGTTCTAATTGAGTTAAATATTTTGGTGTAGAGTAAAATAATAATATTGTTAATAATTATCTTTCAAAATCAATATAATCCGTTACAACTCATACTTATATGTGAAATGGAATAGCAAAATTGTAATATACAATGAATCTAAGAGTATATTACTTACTTGCTGCAAATATTTACAACGCCCAACTCAAGTTAAATGGTCCAGCCCTAGCGGGTTTCGGGCTAGCCCTATCGGGCTTCGGTTTAAACGGTCCGTGCCTAAAAAGCCCTGATTTAAACGAGCTACCAATAAAAAGCCCTAACCCTATTTTTTCCCGGGCTAAACGGGCTGACCCGTCGAGCCAAGGACCATTTAACATCTCTAATTATGTATAAAGTAAATATGCATCTAGTACCATGCACTTAAAAGTGATGCATAGTTAATGTAAAAATGTTGCATGGTTATTGTAAACATGATGCAAAAACACTGTGCAAGAGATGCATATTTACTGTAACAAAACAGTTGCACAGTTAGTGTAACGATGTTGCATAATTAGTGGAAAGTGATGCGCAATTAGTATAAATATGTTGCAAGGTTATTGTAAAGGTGATGCATAGTTATTGCAAGACATATACATAGTTATTGTAATGATGTTGCCTACTTAGTGATAACGTGATCCAAAGTTAGTTCAAAAATGTTGCAACAAATGCATATTTATTTATTCCAAAATAGATGCATAGGTATTGTAACGATATTGCATAGTCAGTGATAATGTTTGGCACATATAGTCTCAAAATGTTGCATGATTATTGAAACAAAACATATGCATATTGTAAAAGTGTGATATAGTGATGCAAAGTTAGTGTAAAAATGTTGAATGGATATTGAAACAACAAATGCATAGTTAGTGATAAAGTATTTCACAATTAGTGCTGTTAAATTAAACGAGCCTGGCTCGGCTCGGCTCGAGTTTGGCTCGAGTTTGAGCTTAACGAGCTGAGCTCGAGCTCATTTAAAGCTTGTTTGACTAACGAGCCGAGCTTGGCTCATTAAGGCTTGAAAATAAAATTTTTATATGATTTTTTATGGTTCGACTCGTTAAAGCTCGAGATCGGCTCGTTAAGGCTCGAGCTCGAGGCCTTAACGAGCTCGAGCTCGGCCTCGAGCTCGATTTCAGGCTCGTTTATGTAATCTCAGCTCGGTAAGGGCTCGAGCTCGAGCTCGAACACCCTAAACTCGAGCTCGGCTCGGTTCGTTTACAGTCCAATGCACAATTAGTGTAAAAATGTAGAATGGTTAATGAAACAATGATGCATAAACGATGTTGCATAGTTAGTGATAAAGCGTTGCACAATTAGTGTAAAGCTGTTGCAAAATTAGTGTAAAAATAATGTAAAATTAGTGATAAAGTGTTGCACGTTAGTGTAAAAATATTGCATGATTCGTATATTTCTATTAATCACTGTATAAGTACAATAATCAAATTTTGATGAATATTAATTTCATGCATGCTCATCTCACCCATTAAAAAAAATAAAAATCGGCCCTCTCACTTATTATCGGTAAATCTCAATTTTTTTGGTAGGAAATCGTTGTAGTTACCGAAATAATCGGTTCAATATCGGTTTAGCCTTATTGGTTCAGTAATCGAACCGAGACCAACCCTGTATATATATCTACTCATATCATTTCCTCCGTATTTATATGATTTTTCCTTCTCGCTTCTTTTTTTTTTTTAATTTTATATAAATATCTTAATATAATAAAATAATCCACGTTTTTCTTCATCATACGGTACCTTCTGGGCAAGCCATTTGGGATTTGAATATATATATATATATATATATATATATTTTTGTTTGAAAACGCAATTGAAATCTTATCCAATTCAGATATTTTGCTTTCTTTTTGTGTGATTTAGATTTGTAGATTTCGCTGCTGCTTTGATTTTTTCCGATGGTTGCGAGTGCCAGCCCGTCGTCAGGGGGCCACAGCAACGCCTACAACGGCAATAGTAGTGGCGGGAAGAGCAACGGCGGCAGTGGAGAGAATGGGAACGGAACCGGCGGCGGCGCGGCGGAAAACCACGTGGCGGGACCCGCACCGGCGTCCCTTCGCCACAATCCGGGCCTGTCGCTGGATTGGACGCACGAGGAGCAGTCTATACTCGAAGATTTGCTGGCAAAGTTAGCTCCCTGTTCGTTTTTGTAATAGTTTTGTTTTTCTAATTCAATATAATAACGTTTGCACATGATTTTGGCTGTCTTGTGTGCTTAAGTGATTTGTGTGTGTTTCCTGGTCACTGAATAATCTCTGGATTTAGGGCCGTGAATCGTTTTGGTGTGTTTCCAGTGTTACTTATCTTTCTCAGTCCCGGATGAGATTGTAAACTTTTAGGTGTTTTCCTGTTTGTATTCATGTGGTGCCACTATTTTTTGCAACATGAATTGTTGTTTTGATGTTATGAGCTTTAGATTGGGTATCGACGGAAACATCAGATGGGTTTATTTGCGGGTTATGAGCTTTAGATTGGGTATCCGAAGGAAACTTCAGATGGTTATTTGCGGGTTATGAGATTTAATTAAACTTTTAGATATTGGGTTAATGGAGTGAAGTTGCTGTCAGGTATTCTATTGGTTCCCTGTTTCCTTTTTGTTTGTTTTCGTGGCGGTGGGATGGCATTTTTGTATTTGCCATTTGTATCTCCAGTAGTTTGAACTTGAGCGCTGACTCCTGAGAAATTTAAGTTATACGTGCTTGTCAATCTCTGGCCGGAATACTAGCCAGATTAAAAAGGTCTCATACCACAGACAGGTGGATAATAACAAGCAATTTGAGTTATAAATACCATAAACTAACTGGCAATAAGGACGATGAGCTCCATTTGTGCTGCCTGACCTCACCGAGTTTCAGGATCTCTCTGTTCCTGACGTACTTGTTCAAAAAATAGAAGATCAACAGAATGACTGTTGACTCGTGTATTTTTTTCCATTTTCTTATTAAGGTTATGCAATGAAGGAGTATTGTTTTCGAATGTGGAATCCTAAAAACCATCCTTAAGTGATGATGAAGTCACTTTTCTTGCCCTCTATTATCACTTTTTCTATTCATGCGTACAACTTAGAGATTAATTACTTGTCATCTTGAGCTATGTATACTTCTTTAAATGAAAACTTGAGCCAAAGACTTCGTAGTCTACCCTTAGCTAAATAAACTATTCAGGGAATACTAAGTTGACCCTTTTTGTTAATGCTAACCATATGCATATTGAATTGACATTGGCAGATTTTACTGCAAATCTTTTTGAAGTTTATTTGATGCTCTTAATTGATGTTAACTTGTTTACTGCATATCTTTATGGAGGTCCTTCTATGCTCTCAAATGATGTCGTCTTGTTTACTGACATCTTTATGAAGTTCAATCCACGTGTCGGCTTGTGTTTGCAGGTATGCCTCAGAATCAACTGTTGTTCGCTATGCTAAAATTTCTCAGGCGTTAAGCGATAAAACTGTCCGGGATGTTGCATTACGGTGCAGATGGATGAATGTGAGCCTTTTTTTTGGGTACTTTCACGAGTTCTGCCCTTTGTTGGGATGCATTGCAATGAGTTTTTCAGGATTAGTGTCTTGATCTCCAATACCATTAAATAAATGGTATATTATGGCCGGTCTTGGGATACATAGATTATAACTATTCTTCAATGCTAATTTTGGTAGGCTGAATCTTGTACAAAAGATTCGGCTGAGCAAATAGGGGAAAGGGGGAGAATCAAAGAAAGGTCATGCTTGATATACTAAAGAGTATGTTATTCCATGGTTTCTATCCTTCTTGGGGGCTTGGGAGGGCAGGAGTATGGAATTAGTTCAGTGCTCCCATATCTTATGTCATCTTCTTAATTTCTTTCATTGTTATCAATGTTTTAGCTATTTGAAGATCATCAATGAGTATTTTTTTTTTTTTTAACTTATGAGCCAGACAATTAATTAAGGGAAAACTCGTCAGTACTCTGTCATGTTAAATTGTATTGAGTACTCTGTCATGTCAAATTGTATTAATGGTACTTAGTTTCTTTAGAAGGTAGACATTGTTTTTTCTTCAAGAATTAGGATACACGGTTCTGAAAGGAAATATAAATACTCGCTTGTCGGAAACTATGGGAACTTTGTCTGGCAAAGGTTCATTGGTTGAACTTATGGTCACGGAAAGCTGTGACTGTGATGATTTGGGTATATAACAGACATAGATGATCTAGAATAATAGGAGTGGATTCTTTCACTAATGAGCCTGATAATGGTTTTCTTTTGGGGAAGAATAAAAAAATGGACATAAAGGTGCTATGGATAAGTAACTCTATTGGTCACCACAGTATATGATATTGATTTTCTAGAAGAGCAGAAGTGGAAGTGATTGGATACAGCTAGTCCGCTATTTTTACTTTCTGCTAATTCGGGAAAATCCTGATTTAATTGGTTTACTGTTTGCAGAAGAAGGAGAATGGAAAGAGGAGGAAAGATGAGAACAATTCAAGAAAGAATAAAGACAAAAAGGTATGCAATATATTTTGTGTTAATAATTTTCAGTTCCATCATTGCTTGCTATGTCCTTTCCCTATGGAAGTGGGCTACAGGAAACTGTGGAGATTTTGCAAATGCATGTCAGTGTTATTCATTTTCTAAGTGGACCACGTATAGTTTTTATAAAGTGTTGCATGTTTGCATGTCATCAAGTTCCTGCTTCACTCACAGTTTCTTCTAATTTTTTAAGTGTTTATTCTTTACCCTGATGGGCAAATTCGATCCTACCCCCATGGGAACTTTCGTATGGGGGTTTTAACCACTGGATCGGCCCACACAGGCAGTGCCTCGGGGGATAGGGTGAAATTCACCTGTAATCTGATAGCCACTTCTTGTTATTAAAAAGTTTTTTCTGTCTGTGTTCGGGAATTCGTTATCTCACAATTGGCATCCTCGATTTCGAATGTGTTTGGTACATCTGCTCCAAGTTGGGCCATTTAAATATTTCAAAATTTCTCTGGTAATAGTGTTAGAATAGGCTTGGAACTGATTCATGCAAAGCCAGAATAGTTGAGAACTCCATGACTTATATGAAAAAAAGAAGTGGATGTTTTGTGTCTTTTTCATCCACTTTGTTTTGTGTAGCTTGATATAAATTTAATGTTTATACTTTAATTTTAGTTTTGTGATTCTTCGAAGTCAAGTCAAAAGCAAATAAGTTATTATGATTCATTATTTTGTGCCTTTGGCTTAGTTAATCTCATGCCAGTGATTCTGACTGAATAATTTTATATTATCCTGGTTTTTCAGGAAAAAGTTACAGATTCATTGCCAAAATCTTCTCAAGTTGCAAACCGCTCCAACGGCCCTCCCTATGCCCAGTCGATGATGTCAATGGACAGCAATGATGGAATCTCATTTAAAGGTCAGCATACTCTTTCTTTCACCAACTATGTAAATTGTCTATCTCCTTTTTCCTTTTCTCAATATAAGTAGCATCCGATTGCTTGTGTTTTCAATTAATTGTAAATTCATCTATTTTAACAAATGGCGTTAATAGAGACATAGTGCTGTAATCATGATGAAGTGGGTAAAATTTTCTGAGGCAATAATCAGATTTTGGCTGGCATAGTACCCTTTCTTTCCCTATTAGCAAACTCCTTGGGACCTGTAATCTTTTCTTTAGTCAGATATCAAAAGGATATCGTGGTTTAGAGTCAGGCTTTGAGTAGCTTCTGGACTTTACAATTCCAATATGTTAGTTGCTGAGAAGTTTTAGAGCTCATTTACCTTTTTGAGGAATTGCTTCAATCAGGTGTATAAAGGTGCATGCTTTTCTCAAGATAGTGCCAATCTGAAGTGTCTGAAATCTTTAATCCAGGCCTAAATGTTTCTTATCTTTAGACTTTAATATAATTCTTAGTACCTATTATATTTAGCTGTAAATTAGAAGGGTTATTCTTAAGATTATGGTGATTAACCTTATCAGCTTGTTTTTTTTTTTTTTTTTTCTTTGATGAGCAAAATGATTTTCATTCATAGAGATCTTTCAGTTAGTCAAAGTTGTTTTTGAAATGTAAATATTACAGTTGGACATATAAAATAAGAATTTTTTGTTCTACACCCACTTGTCATATTCGGTCTGGCTTTGCTGTTGGATTTTCTTTCTCGGATAAATGTATTGGCTAAATTTGCGTGCTATCTTAAAATACATTTTTTTTTAAAAGCTCAGCATTTGTCAGGAAAAAAGTTTCAAGTCAGCTGACAAAATAATAGAGCTACAGCTTGCTTGTAATCGGAAAGCAGGCACTTGAATATTATGGTCCTTGATTCTTGTGTTCTTATTTTATTTATATCAGATATGACCTTTATATCTTATTCATGTATTTCAGCTATTGGTGGAGCTGCTGGACAGCTTCTTGAGCAAAATGCTCAGGCCTTGGATCAAATTTCCACCAATTTTTCTGCTTGCAAGGTACTTGCAGCTTCGTTCTAGTTAAGTTGTTGATGTATCTGTGTGGGGGATTAAGTTTATATGGATTTCCATCAATTCTATTTATTGGTGCATGCTGGGCTAAATATGAAGCCTGGCTCTTAGTGAACTGCAACTTCTTAATCTCATTTTGCATGCTAATATTGGCGGATGAATATGCATTAGGATTAGTTAGTACCAGATCGCAGTTTGGTGTTGGTCTTAATTGGTTGACTTTGCAGACTACTTAACCAACATAATCAATTATAAACATTGTAATGTACACCTTAGACCCGAGTAAATTTACAAACTACAGAACATGGCACAGTTTACTTTTGAACAGTGACTTATTTTGGTAACACCGTATCCGTTGTTTGATGTACAGATTCATGAGAACATCAATCTTTTCTGTCAAGCTCGGAATAACATAGTTTCACTGTTAAACGAGTAAGTTCAGGATACTCTCTACCCATATTTTTATTTTGACGTTGCTAAGCATCTCTTTTTTAGCAGGATTAACCTTTTGAATGGAATTTCTACATCCATAGAGTTCTTTGCATATTTACTAACTGTAGTCGAAATTTTTGGGGTTGCAGCTGGATATACGCTTGTATTATAATTTTCTTTCTGGTACTGAGTAGGGATTTAAAAGAAAAAATTGTTAGATAAGTATGATGACTTTTTTTTAGTGAAGTTGTATATGTTAGATGAAAATTAGTGATCACAGTTGATATGGTATAAAAATTGTTAAAAAATGATTGGACACGGTTGATAGTTGGAAATATCTGAGTGAGTATCGTAAATTTGCTTGGGTAATGTGTGATAATGATTTTTTTCTTCAAATAAATGTGTAGTGGGACTCTGAGGGAAAATCTGAGAATGGGTGAATAGTGGGACTCTGAGGGAAAATCTGAGAATGGGTGAATAGTGTATAAGCTGGAAAGTTTTTATATGCAATCACTCATTTGGGTATTAAAATTCCTTTGATAGTGTGTTTATCTGTTCAATATATATGCTTACTTTTGGTAATATGATGGGGAATGTCTGGGATGGATAAAATCCAATTCGTTAGGAGTCCATTTAGGAGAACTAATATTTGGTCAGGCACTTCCAAGTGTAGCAGCTACGAAAAACTTCAGGACTTCTTTACATAGTTTTCTATTCTCGGTGTTGCATTTTTTATTTTTTGACAGCAAACAAATGAACTTAGTTGAACTCAACAGACTTTCCTCTGTGTTACTATTGGTTCATCTATATAGAGATCATCCAATTTACTCATTTTAACGGTTTGTACATATTTAACATCTGGTTTTCTACATCCTAACCGGGAAATGTTGAATGACACAGCTTAAGCGACTTGCCGGAAATAATGAAACAAATGCCACCTCTTCCTGTGAAGCTGAATGACGAGCTTGCAAACTCCATTCTTCCTCGTACATTCATGTCAAAGAAACCTTAGAGCTATCATTTAGAGATTTTTGCCCGTTGCATGATGGAGGTGAATTTCTGTAAAGATGGGCCCCTTTTATTTTTAATTATAGATGTGGTAAAATAAAATCTGCTAGTCAGCTCAAGTTTTTAGCTTCAAGTGTTCTATGAAGGTGGTGTTAACCTTTGCTCTTCATCCAATTTGATGCGTCTTAGAATATAGTTTCGTTGTAACATGCAGATGAGTTTAAGTGTAGAATTCGTTTTTACTGCTGTAAATAAATATAGAAGGTAAATACTCTGATGATCGAGTAGAGAAGGGCATTTCTCATTAGAAATCGTTCAAAGATGAGCGTTTGAAAAACTCTGCATTCTGAACTGCCATTAGATTTGATTAGATGTTCGTCTCTTTCACAGGTTTGGGACTCGATTGAAATAGGTGATTCTTGATATGTTCACTAATACAATAAGTGGTTTGTAGTTGAAAATAACTGGAGAATGGCACTAGCCATAATCTTACCACTCAAGCACAAAATTAAATAAATTGGTCAAAGTTATGTGGTGTTTGCAGATTTCGCACAGAGCATGATAAATCAGTTGGGTAGTTAACCAGCTGAAGTATATATAACTCAGTAATTTAAACACATAATTATAATGCACGAAATTGTGCATTATAATTGTGCGTTTTAAATTTAAACCTATATTGATTCATAATTCAACTGTGCAATTTTATCGAACTACGCCCGATGGACCGATTGGACTAGCAGCAAGGTTGAGTCGAGCAAGAATTTAACCAGTGAGCATTCCTTGCGAATGAATGTATTGTCGTGGTTGGCTCATAATTAAGTTTGAATTAGCACAATTTATCGCCTACGAAACATTCACTCGATCACACTGATTACAATTCCACACATAGGTACAAGAAAACTACCCACGCAAATAAGAATGAATGAATGATACGGACAATTTGCGGACAAAGCCAAACTATTACACCACGATTGCACCACATGACAACGCTACATGATTGCACTATGATTGTACACAATAATCACAACACATGATTGCACAGCGAGAGACTACATCACGCCTTATGTGATCACACCACTAGGGGTGTAAACGAGCCGAAATGAGCTCGAGCTCCAGCCCTAAAGAGTTCATAATTGAGCTTGAGTTCAACTCGTTTATCAATATTAACGAGCCGGAATCAAGTTTTAACGAGTCAAACTATAAAAAATTACAAAAAAAAAATCATCTTTTTGAACCTTATCGAGCCGAAACGAGCGGAACTCGTTTATCAAATGAGTTGAGCCTAGCTCGAGCCTTAACGAGCGAAAAACTTTAAACACCATGAAACCACACGAGACCGCACTAATCAATCGAATATGTGATTACATCATAAAACCACAACACACAAGCGCATTATGTGATCACACCATGCAGCGTGTAAAAAAAAAAAAAAAATTGTACTGAATCACAACACACGATTGCACCACGAGACCTCGCGACACAATCGCATTATGTGATCACATCACGAAACCACAACACACAGTCGTATTATGATCACCCCATGCAGGGTGTAAAAACATAAGTTTTGTATTGAATCACAACAAACGATTGCACCACGAGATTGTACAACACAATCGCATTATGTGATCACACCACGAAACCACATGAGACCCCACGACACGATCGCATTATGTGGCCGCACCATGCAAGGTGTAAAAACAACTTTTTTGTACTGAATCACAACACACAGTACGATTGCACCACAAGATTGCACTACACAATCACATTATGTGATCACACCACGAAACCACACGAGCCCACACCAAATAATCGCGTAGTCCCATCACGGAACCACACTATACAGTCCTATAATGTGATCGCACTATACATGTGACCGTAAACAAATATCACTTGTCCAACTTATTCAGTTCAAGCCAGTGATGATTAATTAGTACTACAAACAAATAATCAATCATGCAGAAAAAATTGGAAACCAAAATGCATACTCCAAAATTGGAGTATTATATTAATACGAAGACCGGAAAAAAGGTACAGTTAAATCATATTTGATTTAGCATTTTTTTTTCCCTTTGATTTGATGATGCAAAACGCAATTATTAATTAATAACTAAATGAAAAAAAAAGGTTAAATTACCCAAAATTAATTAATTAATTAAAAATCAGGGGTTCCTCGCGCGTTGCACCGCCCTCATGAGCAGGCTGTCCTCCTGCAGAATAACGCAGACGGGCGAGTTCCCGATCCCACGCGCCTTGGCGAGAGTGACCTCCCTCGCCAGCGCTAGGAACTCGGCCGGGTCGATCGTCCCGCTCCGATCCGCGTCGAACTCGGCGAACAGCACGTCGTAGATCCCCGCGATCTCGTCCCTCGACTGCAGCTCGAACTCCGCCTGGGTCCCCCTCTCGAGGTCGGCGCGTGAGAGGACGCCGTCGCCGTCGGCGTCCAGCGCCTGGAACTTCTCCGCCGCCCACTTCTCGAACGCCCCCGAGTCGTCGTCGACGAAAGCCGCCACGGTCGGGCCGTCAACGATTTCAACGCTCATTTTTTCTGGATACTCTTTGATTATTATTATTATTTTTTTTATTTCTGCCTGTGGTTTGTAATCGATCGATCGAACAATTAAAATTTTTGTTGGGATATTGGAAATGTATGGTCTGGTCTAGGGTTTGAGGTTTGGTGGTGGAACTTAAATCACGGCGGCGTTGGCTGAGAATGCTTTGCTGCGCGGTTATAGGCGGCGATGTTGGGTCGTTTTCCCTCCCATTTTAAGGTGACGAATATTTTGTTTCTATTTTCATTTTTTTTTTTGTTGTGTTTTAAATAATTTTATGTTAGGGAGACTATAATAAGTCTCCAATATAATTCAGACTAGTACGTACCCCGTGCAATGCACAGGACATAGATATTAAATGAATTATTTTCAAACGACTCGGTTCGTTTAAGTCTAAAAATCAATAGGGTTATCATATATTTTTCACTTGTATATTAGGGCTAGCTTGTAAAGTAATTAATATATTATCTATACATATTTAATTCTTTTTTTTATCGGTTATACATATTTATTTTTAATTTGAAAAAAAAAGGTTTGACTAGTTGAGTATTAAATCAGCACTAATTAATTTATTAAGCAAGTAAAGACGCGAAGCAAGACAATCTAATTATCCAACAATTTAGGGTAATATATAGATATTTCCTTTATTAAACATGATTTTTAAAAATAAAACAACATCATCCCCAAATAATAGGCAACATTCATGGTTTTGATGAAAACCAAAATAACAAAATCCTTAATTAATGGGTAGCATCAGTGTTTTGTGACCCGGACCAGCCCGGCGGGTCGACCCGGGACCCGGTCGACCCGGAGCCGGAACCGGTCCGGGTGGGTTAATTAGACCGGGCAACAACGGACCCGGTCAAAACCCGGTCGACCCGGCCTTGACCCGGTCGACCTGGGGCATTGACCCGGCTGGGTCAACCCGGTTGACCCGGTCTATATGTATTTTTTTACTTTTTTTTTTGTTTTTTAATTTTCTTTTTCTTTTTAAAAAATAAAATTATGTATATATATTTATATGATAAATATATACATATTGTTACCACTTTAATCTACAAATTTTACATACAAAATATTTAAATTTGTTATATTTATGTATATTTATATATCACAAAATACTCTATATATAATTTTATAAATTTTAAAATTAATTATCCGGTTCAGCAATTGACCCGGTGACCCGGCGGTTGAACCGGTGACTCGGTGACCCGAAGACCTGCCCGAGTCGATTACCGGGCCGGGTTTAAAAACTATGAGTAGCATTTAATGCTACTTTTTTTATTAAAAAAAAAAGAAAAGAAAAGTTACTAAGAATGTAATGTAATTAATGCAAAATGATTTTGACCAAAATTTGACCTGCTATTTTTGAAAAATAGTAAATCTTTATATATAGATATATAGATTACATAAATAACTCAAAAGATAAATTTAAAGTATCGAATCATATTCAACCACCTAATAATATTCTTAGAATATAACTAGAATAGAATTAAATTTCCCTAAAATGAAACAAACAATGATTACAAAAATCAAATATTATTTAGAATGAGATACTTTTCACCATTGAATTCTCATATGATGGAAACTCACAAAACGATTTAAATTGCGTTTGGTAAAACTAGATAACAAAATACCAGCTAGATTTTCGAGCTTATACTAAGTTTGGTAAAATCAACTGATAAATTAATTGATAGTCGATAAACTAACTTATACTTATAACTTATAAGTGAATTTCGAGTTTATAGCTTATAGCTAATAGCAGAAAGACTAGATTAATTATATGATGTAAGTTTGTGATAAAATTAGCTGATAAGTTGGCTAAAATAAAAATTTCGACGAACTTATTTAAAAAGTTACGTAAAGAAGCTTATGAGATAAACTCGAACTTTTTGTCATACCAAACGAATCTTATTTGAATACATGAAACTTATGAGCTAGCCAAATAAGCTATAGACTCGCTTATTTGTCTATCAAACAAGCTAACTTATATGATAAAAATGTTTGACAAAATTACCTGATAAGCTAACTGAAATAAAAAATTTAACGGACATATTTGAAAAGCTATCCAAAAAAATTTATGAGATAAACTCAAACTTTTTAAAAAATATTGTTCTACCAATTTACCCATTGAATCTTTTTTAAAATAGAGAAAGCTTATAAACTAGTGGTTACCAAACACAATTAAAAAAAGTACACAATTTATCCATTATATTTTTCACTTACACCGCTCACATTGTTGGAAATAAATTCTTAGATTGAAACTAACGGGCTTTTCTACAGTCAGGTATCCTTGTACTTTGGCTTGTACCTACTTAACAACATGTATCTCTTAAATGAACGCCACGTGTCCTTTTTTTAATAAATTAAATAAAAAATAAAAATAAATCTTAATACAAATACGAAAATGCCCTTACTTAAAAAAAATAAAGAAAAAATATTATAAATTGTTATTAAATTTACTTAAAGAGTGTTCAACTTTTCTCATTTAACAATTTGGCCTAAACATAGTTACGAATCGTAAATAAACCCATAATTATTCCAAACCCTATTTTGCTCTCATGATTAAGGTGAAGCAAGAACCGATGACAGAAGCAAGAACCCGATGACGACGAAGAAGAAAGCACAGTTATTAGATTCAGTCTGAAATACAGGATTCAATTTTAGTCTGAAATTTTTGGGAAAAATCCAATTACACCAGTAGCTCTCCACAATTTTCACAAGCTAACCGTAAATCCAAGCCAGAGCTTCTTAAATGGTCGATCTACATACGTGGGAGGCAGACGTCGTCGGAGGCGACGGCGGTGGGCGGAGCGATGATGAGAACGATGCAAATTCAATCCCTCTTATCTTCACTCCAGATCAACTCGACTACACCCAAGAGCTCGATCGCAAATCGGCTTCTCTTTACCGTTCGATCCAAGATCTGCGGCTGAGATTACCCCCACCCGACATCCCCCAACGCCTCCTTCACATCCACGCTCACTCGTTCGCTTCCAACAATGCTCCTGCCCTCCAGCTCAACGCTCATTCAGCTACCAAGGAACATGTATTTTTTCTTTTTTATTTTGTTTTTGTTATTGTTTTGGGGGAATTTTCTTATCTTTTTTCCTGATATGCATTTGAGTAACATGATGTGTGGGATAAATAACTTATACTTTATTTTTGTTTGCATTTTTAGAGATTTTAGAAAGAATAAAAGTGGGTTTGGTTGGCTATGATTGGGAGAAAAAGGTGCAATCTTTTGTTAAATTGAAGTGCCCTTTTGCTCATAATTCGACAAAAATTCAAGAGAAGCTGCAGGAAGCAGATTTGCTTTGAAGTAGTAGGCTAAAGGTTGGAGTTTGATCTATCGCGCAATTCTCATATGATTACTCCCTGATACAATAATCGTCTCGGTTATTATTGGTTCAACCTGTAGCATCTAGCATTTCGATTCTTATTGTATTTGATAGAAAATGTAAAGATGCTTTGCTCTCTACGGTCAACAAGCTTTGCTGATGTTGTTTCTGTTACAATTGGACCTAAAGGTGTGTGGTTTTTTTTGCTGTTTTTCTTAATTTAGTTTTCTTGATTTTTCTAATGACCGTCTCTACTTTTTGTCGGTTGTTCAGAAAATAAGTAAGATAAGAAGAATTCTCGGAATTACGTTTATTTTAGGAGAAGGTGGGGGAGGAGGGAGAAGAGGAAAATGGGGTATGGAGTTTTCGTGTTAAGGCTTGTTCTGGGCTTGATTACCTTGAGCGGTGTAGATTTTGGGATTTTTTTGATGGTTTCTTGGGCTTTGAGGGTCCGGTTGTCTCCGGATATGGTGATGGCTTTGGGTCAGATTTCGAGGTAGGTTGAGGGTATTAATGAGAGGTTTACGTTCTTGAAGAACGAGTTGGAAGGGTGTTTGGGGGAAAAGGTTTCGAGCTGTAGCTCTGTTGATTCTGTGTGGAAAATCAGGCGTGTTTTGTAGACCTTAAAAAGCTCTTTTGTTTTGTTATATGAACAGATATGTGTGTGTGTGGCTGAATTTGTAGTATGAGATTTCATTTTCAATTTTCTTTTTCTGCCTGTGAGCTATGGTGTCAATGCAGTTTATTAATTTCCTACAGTTGTTGTTTGATTGCCTGTGTGTGTATGTATGACTGTATTTTAGTTGCAATTGTGTATGAACTTGACTTTGACACCTCTTGCATAATGCATTTGCTTACATCTTTAGACAATCATGTTGAGGACGAGAATATGGTACCTGTTCTTAGCTGGTTTTTCTTAATTTAAGTTTTTGATACTATGGTTTCCAAATGAGAAATCCAGGAATGAGTTTAGGAAAATTGTCCTATTGTTATTGGAATAGGTGAGTTCTTTTGTTTCTAAAGTAGTCACAGAAAAAATTATGTTCCTGTTTATTGGACACTTGCAATCAGTTGTATTGTTCTCTCACAAGAGCTATATCTAATCCCTTTTCAAATAAAGGAACAATTACAAGATTTCTAAGGGATCGTTAGCTTCAAAAGTGGTTGGAAGAGATCATTTATCTATTTCATCTGGAATTAATATTACAAATGTTCTTTTGATATTAGCATCTATATTACGAATTCCATATTGTAGTAGCATAATTTATGTGTTTATATATTTATAAAAGAAAATATAAAAATCGTAAGTGATTGCAATAACTTTAGCCTAAGAGTGAAGTGCCCAACAATTGACCAAAACATATTTCATTTTATGGTATGGTTTGGTTTTTCAACAGCTGCTATTTCATTTTATAAGATAACATGTTCATTTTATAAGTTGATATATTCATTTTACAAAGAAACATATTCATCATGTTAATAAACATATTACGTACAGAATCAACATATTCATTGCGTTAATAAACATGTTCATCTGAGAAAGCAAACACAATCAACATATACATCTTGTACAAAACATATATTCATTGCGTTAATAAACATGTTCATCTGATAAAGCAATATGTTCATTTGGTAACAAAGCATGTTCATAGATAATCACGTGAAACACACTTCCTAAATAGGCGCGTGAACATGCTTTGTTACATTTTTTTTTTTTTTTTGTAACCAAATTTTTTATACTGACATAAGATGAACATGTTACATAATAAGATGAATGAATATGTTATCAAATAAGATGAACATGTTACGGATTGCAAAATGAAATAATACATAATCATCTTATTTTATAACATGTGCATTTCATTTTGTAACATATTCATCTTATTTTATAACATGTTTATCTTAGTGTAAATATGTAACATGTTATCTTATTCTAAAACATGTTCATCTTACTATGTAACATGTTCATCTTATTATGGATTTGCGTCTTTATCTTTCAATAAGATAAATTAATTACGAAAAATGATAAATTAATTGTGTTCTAAAACATATCAAATGTGGTCTCTATTTGTAGAGAATGTAAGATTATGAATTTTGGTATTTTTATTTTTTAATATAAAATATGAATAATAATTTAATTTATATAATATGATATATAAAATTTATCAAAAATTATTGATAAAAATATGGAATTCTTCAAAACGCGTGAATGATTTTTTGCACAAAATATGGAATTAGGATCCTTGAAAACGCTTAAACAAATTTTGAACAAAATATGAAATGATTTTAAATTTTTTAAAATGAACAGAATTTTAGATTTTTTAAACAAACATAATTTTGGATTTATTTAAACAATTTCCATAAGTAGTAAGTCAAATTGGTTGACTCAGTTTTTTTACAAATTTTCCTCAAATGATTTATTGACGAATATTTAAATGTTATTACTTCCGTTTGAATTTTTCAATAAAAATTCTAACAAAAATGGTTCATTAGAATTATGAACAATATGTTTATCAAATAGGTCCGACACAGACCCTCATCCCAAAACATATAGCATAAGGTGTCAACTCTTTTGATATCGTCTTTGCCCGATTCCTTGTCTTTGAGCCGCGAATTCTACACCGGCCTAACTCGGATATCAACAATATATATGTACATTACAAAACTATTCAAGTTAAAAAAAAAATATATAGTACTTTATAAATAAAATAAGTAAAATGAAATAGCCATGTATCTATTTAAATTATAGCACTTGGTAATCATGAAAAAATATAATATATCTAAATAATATTCAAATGGGTACTGATTAACTCATTATATATGTTGAAAAATGAATTCAAGAGTTTAATATAAAGAAAAAGAAAAAAAATATATATTTAATCATGAAAATTTTGTATTGCATATATAAGGGATAATGTTACTAAAACCTAAAAATTAATTATCAAAACTTTTAATATTTCATTTTATTCTCTATAAATACAGACCACATTTGATAAGTTTCTTCACATAATTATTATTATTTTTTTGTAATCAATTATTTATACTGACATAAGATGAATATATTACATAATAAGATGAATATGTTATCAAATAAGATGAACATATTACGGATTGCAGAATGAAATAATACATGTTCATCTTACTTTATAACATGTTCATCTCATTTTATAACATATTCATCTTGTTTTATAACATGTTCATCTTACTATGTAACATGTGGATTTACGTCTTCATCTTCCAATAAAATAAATTAATTATGAAAAGTGATAAATTAATTGTGTTCTAAAACCTATCAAATATGGTCTCTATTTTTAGAGAATGAAAAATTATGAATCTTGGTATTTTTATTTTAATTTTTTAATATAAAATATGAATGATAATTTAATTTATATAATATGATATATAAAATTCATTATCCAATAAAAATATAACACATGTCCATTCAAAAAAAAAACCTTACCTCACGCGCCTTTTTGAGGGATTGTATTACACAAAGGCCTTGGCACACCTAACAAGGTGTGTCAGGAAACACGTAATTATATGCTGTCTTCCATGCCGTATGTTCCCATACTCCCCATCCCAGGTGATGATAAAATTTAATATTTTAGTCCAAGTAATTAAAGAGTCTCACATGATCTAAACTTTTGACCAATTAATTCCTCCAAATCCTCATTAATTTCTCACGCAATAATTAGTCAAATTGAGAGTCCTCATGTCATTAAATTACCATATGCACATGTGTTATACTATTTAAATATATGTATAATGGGTATTTTAGTAATATAATATATCGAGCAGCTCGACAATGCAAATTATGGGCTTTTGACTCCAGCGCTCGCGAGCGGCTCATGAGCCGCTCGACTCGTTTGCAGCTCTACTCATAGTCTGTCTCGGGAGTTTCTCGTTTCGATTTGAACTCGATATTTCTCCTGAGTATGAGTATTCTATCATTGGAAAAAAAAATTATAACATAAGTGTGTGTTTTTGTTAAAAAAATATCATAAACTAATTATAATTTATAATATCATATGAAATAAATATTATGTTTCATGGAAAGCTAAAGTTTTATAGTGTAAAAATTTTTAGGCTCATACTGATATGATATATATTTAAATATTAAAACATAATGTTTTTATATATATATATATTTAACAAATATATATATATATATGTGTGTTATACAGTAAACACCAAGGGCGTGATTGAACTCAAATTAGTACAATCTCGATAAATTATAGTGTAATCGAACTCGAATTAGTCCAATTGAAGTTCAATTAGTACAATATCGGCCAATTATATAATAATCGATCTTGAATTAGTCCAATTTAAATCCAATTGCAACAATCTCGGTCAATTATATTATAATCGAACTCGTATTAGTCCAACTGAAGTCCAATTAGTACAATCTCGGTCAATTATATTATAATCGAACTCGTGTTAGTCCCATTGAAATCCAATTAGTACAATATCGACCAATTATATTATAATCAAACTCGAATTAGTCCAATTGAAGTCCAATTAGTACAATATCGGCCAATTATAGTGTAATCAAACTCGTATTAGTCCACTTGAAGTCAAATTAGTACAATCTCAGTCAATTATATTATAATCAAACACTTTTTTTTTTTTTTTCCAAACGACAATTATATTAATAACTTAAAAACTCACAAGAGTACAATCGAAGTGTCAAATGACACACTGGAACCAGAAAACTGGACCACCCCCTTGTCAACACACGCAAGGGGTACAAACTCCATTAAGGAGACAAACAACCACAAAACAAAACACTCTAAAAAAGCAGACAAGCTGCACTGACAGCAGACAAAACTGCACTAAAAGCAGACAAAGCTGCACTAACAAAACAACAAAAATACAACAATAATAAAAACACACACCTAATGAACAAATAAACTAGAACCTCCCCTACACCTAACACTCTCGAAGCCTACCCACCTAGGACCGCAAACAATCCACATCCACTAACAAATGAATCCAACAAAGCCACAGACCGCAACCTCAAGCCCGAAAACTGCGGCTACTCGTGCCGCCTAGACGGATCTGAAGAAGAGACTGCTCTCGGTTTAGATCTGGACTCCGCAAACCAATCTCGCTAGGGGGAGAAGAGGAAGCAGTAGAGGGGGCACCAACTCGCCAAAGCCGGAGTGCTCGAAAGAGAGATCGAATCGGACGGCAAGCCGCACCAAAGGACCCTAGACGTGAACGACAGAACTCTCGGCATAACCATGGTCGGTACCTCCTCGAGGCTTGGGCTTGAAATCTTGTTGCCGGCGGTCTCGTCCATGGCCGGGGATGGCTAGGAGGCAAAGCAACTCGGACCCAACGGGTTGAGAGCTCTCCCTCCCACTCTCCCACAAAGCCCGGAGGAGACGGAAATGTCCTCGGCCTCAAATCTACGAATTCCTCTTCCAGTGGGGCGGCGACGAGCTTGAAGGTGTAGGAGGGGCGGCGAAATTAAGGACTGGTTTTTAGGTTTAGGGGAGAGGAAGAAGAGGGGCGCGTGCAAAAGGACTTCTTATAATTTGATTGACTCTATTATCATCAAACACGAATTAGTCCAATTGAAGTCAAATTAGTACAATCTCGGTCAATTATAGTGTAATCGAACTTGAATTATTCCAATTGAAGTCAAATCAGTACAATCTCGGTCAATTATAGTGTAATCAAACTCGTATTAGTCCAATTGAAGTCAAGTTAGTACAATCTCGGTCAATTATATTATAATCGAACTCGAATTAGTCCAATTGAAGTCTAATTAGTACAATCTCGGTCAATTATATTATAATCGAACTCGAATTAGCCCAATTGAAGTCAAATTAGTACAATCTCGGTCAATTATAGTGTAATCGAACTTGAATTATTTCAATTGAAGTCAAATTAGCACAATCTCAGTAAATTATAGTGTAATCGAACTCAAATTAGTTCAATTGCATTAAAATTAGTACAATTCTCGGTCAATTATATTATAATCGAACTTGTATTAGTCCAATTGAAGTCAAATTAGTACAATCTCGGTCAATTATAGTGTAATCGAACTTAAATTGGTCCAATTGAAGTCAAATTAGTACAATCTCGGTCAATTATATTATAATCAAACTCGAATTAGTTCAATTGAAGTCAAATTAGTACAATCTCGGCCAATTATATTATAATCGAACTCAAATTAGTCCAATTGAAGTCAAATTAGTATAATCTCGGTCAATTATAGTGTAATCGAATGTGAATTATTCCAATTGAAGTCAAATTAGTACAATCTCGGTCAATTATATTAGTCCAATTGAAGTCAAATTAGTGCAATCTAGGCCAATTATATTATAATTGAACTCGAATTAGTCCAATTGAAGTCAAATTAGTACAATCTCGATTAATTATATTATAATCAAACTCGAATTAGTCCAATTGAAGTCAAATTAGTACAATCTCGGTCAATTATAGTGTAATCGAACTTGAATTATTTCAATTGAAGTCAAATTAGTACAAAATCTGTAAATTATAGTGCAATCGAACTCGAATTAGTTCAATTGCATTAAAATTAGTACAATCTCGGTCAATTATATTATAATCGAACTTGAATTAGTCCAATTGAAGTCTAATTAGTACAATATCTGTCAATTATATTATAATCGAACTCGAATTAGTCTAATTGAAGTCAAATTAGTAAAATCTCGATCAATTATAGTGTAATCGAACTCGAATTAGTCCAATTGAAGTTCAATTAGTACAATCTCGGCCAATTATATTATAATCGAACTCGAATTAGTCCAATTGAAGTCAAATTAGTACAATCTCGGTCAATTATAGTGTAATCGAACTCAAATTAGTCCAATTGAAGTCAAATTAGTACAATCTCGGTCAATTATAGTGTAATCGAACTTGAACTATTTCAATTGAAGTCAAATTAGTACAATATCAGTAAATTATAGTGTAATCGAACTCGAATTAGTTCAATTGCATTAAAATTAGTACAATCTTGGTCAATTATATTATAATCGAACTTGAATTAGTCCAATTGAAGTCTAATTAGTACAATCTCAGTCAATTATATTATAATCGAACTCGAATTAGTCTAATTGAAGTAAAAAATGTACAATCTCGGCCCATTATATTATAATCGAACTCGAATTAGTCCAATTGAAGTCCAATTAGTACAATCTCGGCCAATTATATTAAAATCGAACTCGAATTAGTCCAATTGAAGTCAAATTAGTACAATCTCGGTCAATTATAGTGTAATCGAACTTAAATTAGTCCAATTGAAGTCAAATTAGTACAATCTCGGTCAATTATATTATAATCAAACTCGAATTAGTTCAATTGAAATCAAATTAGTACAATCTCGGCCAATTATATTATAATCGAACTCGAATTAATCCAATTTAAATCAAATTAGTATAATCTCAGTCAATTATAGTGTAATCGAACTTGAATTATTCCAATTGAAGTCAAATTAGTACAATATCGGTAAATTATAATGTAATCGAACTCGAATTAGTCCAATTGAAGTCAAATTAGTACAATCTCGGCCCATTATATTATAATCGAACTCGAATTAGTCCAATTGAAGTCCAATTAGTACAATCTCGGCCAATTATATTAAAATCGAACTCGAATTAGTCCAATTAGTACAATCTCGGCCAATTATATTAAAATTGAACTCGAATTAGTCCAATTGAAGTCAAATTAGTACAATCTCGGTCAATTATAGTGTAATCGAACTTAAATTAGTCCAATTGAAGTCAAATTAGTACAATATCGGTCAATTATATTATAATCAAACTCGAATTAGTTCAGTTGAAGTCAAATTAGTACAATCTCGGCCAATTATATTATAATCGAACTCGAATTAGTCCAATTGAAGTCAAATTAGTATAATCTCGGTCAATTATTGTGTAATCGAACTTGAATTATTCCAATTGAAGTCAAATTAGTACAATATCGGTAAATTATAATGTAATCGAACTCGAATTAGTCCAATTGAAGTCAAATTAGTACAATCTCGGCCCATTATATTATAATCGAACTCGAATTAGTCCAATTGAAGTCCAATTAGTACAATCTCGGCCAATTATATTAAAATCGAACTCGAACTAGTCCAATTGAAGTCAAATTAGTACAATCTCGGTAAATTATAGTGTAATCGAACTCGAATTAGTCAAATTGAAATCCAATTAGTACAATATCGGCCAATTATATAATAATCAAACTTGAATTAGTCCAATTAAAATCCAATTGCTACAATCTCGGACAATTATAGTGTAATCAAACTCGTATTAGTGCAATTGAAGTCTAATTAGTACAATCTTGGTCAATTATATTATAATTGAACTCGTTTTAGTCCCATTGAAGTCCAATTAGTACAATATCGGCCAATTATATTATAACTGAACACGAATTAGTCCAATTGAAGTCAAATTAGTACAATCTCGGTCAATTATAGTGTAATCAAACTCGTATTAGTCCAATTGAAGTCAAATTAGTACAATCTCAGTCAATTATATTATAATCGAACTCGGATTAGTCTAATTGAAGTCAAATTAGTACAATCTCGGCCAATTATATTATATTTGAACTCGAATTAGTCCAATTAAAGTCCAATTAGTACATCTCGGCCAATTATATTATAATTGAACTCGAATTAGTCCAATTGAAGTCCAATTAGTACAATCTTGGCTAATTATATTAAAATCGAACTCGAATTAGTCCAATTGAAGTCAAATTAGTACAATCTCGGTCAATTATATTATAATCAAACTCGAATTAGTTCAATTGAAGTCAAATTAGTACAATCTCGGCCAATTATATTATAATCGAACTCGAATTAGTCCAATTAAAGTCAAATTAGTACAATCTCGGTCAATTATAGTGTAATCGAACTTGAATTATTTCAATTGAAGTAAAATTAGTACAAAATCTGTAAATTATAGTGCAATCGAACTCGAATTAGTTCAATTGCATTAAAATTAGTACAATCTCGGTCAATTATATTATAATCAAACTTGAATTAGTCCAATTGAAGTCTAATTAGTACAATCTCAGTCAATTATATTAAATCGAACTCGAATTAATCTAATTGAAGTCAAATTAGTACAATCTCGGCAAATTATATTATAATCGAACTCGAATTAGTCCAATTTAAGTCCAATTAGTACAATCTCGGCCAATTATATTATAATCGAACTCGAATTAGTCTAATTGAAGTCAAATTAGTACAATCTCGGCCAATTATATTATAATCGAACTCGAATTAGTCCAATTGAAGTTCAATTAGTACAATCTCGGCCAATTATATTATAATCGAACTCGAATTAGTCCAATTGAAGTCAAATTAGTACAATCTCGGTCAATTATAGTGTAATCGAACTCGAATTAGTCCAACTGAAGTCAAATTAGTACAATCTCGGTCAATTATAGTGTAATCGAACATGAATTATTTCAATTGAAGTCAAATTAGTACAATATCAGTAAATTATAGTGTAATCGAACTCGAATTAGTTCAATTGCATTAAAATTATTACAATCTTGGTCAATTAAATGTAGATTTGGTCAAAAAAACAATAACGAATGTACATTCATTATGGTTGTTTTTCGTAACAAATTTGCTTTCATAACATGTTTATTTTATTTTCAAACGTGTTCATTTAGTATTTAAACATGTTCATTATAAAATTAAACATGTTCATATCATACTGTAACATTGTCATATATTAAATAGGTGCTTATTCTTCTGTTATGGAAAAGTTCAGAGAACATGTCATATAGAATGTAGACATGTTCATTTTGTATTTATACATGTTCATTCTAAGATTAAACATGTTTATATCATAATGAAATATTGTCATATATTATATAGGTGCTCATTCTTCATGTTTTGGAAAAGTTCAGAGAACATGTCATATAGAATGTAGATATGTTCATTTTGTATTTATACATGTTCATTCTAAGATTAAACATGTTCATATCATACTGAAATATTGTCATATATTAAATAGGTGCTCATTCTTCATGTTTTGGAAAAGTTCAGAGAACATGTCATATAGAATGTAGACATGTTCATTTTGTATTTATACATGTTCATTCTAAGATTAAACATGTTCATATCATACTGAAACATTGTCATATATTGAATAGGAGCTTATTTTTCCTGTTTTGGAAAAGTTTAGAGAACATGTCATATATAATGTAGACATGTTCATTTTGTATTTACACATGTTCATTCTAAGATTAAGCATGTTCATATCATACTGAAACATTATCATATATTGAATAGGTGCTCATTCTTCATGTTTTGGAAAAGTTTATA